GAGGGGTGGGAGGGCAGGGCCGCTCCTCTCCTCTGCCCGCGCTGGGCAGTGTGAGAGGCTGTGCCTCCAGCTTAGGTTGCTTGTAACGGAGGGAACGCCAGTCGTGTTCGTCCTTGTTAACCTACTGTGGGGAGAGGAGTAAAACGCAAAGGATGAGGATTTATTGTTTGGGGTTTTTTTTGCAGAGTAGACTAACATACCTCTGGAAGGAGCAAGGATGAAGCGTATTACTGAAACAGAGGTGCTATCAAAATCTTACATTTCCACATTGCTTTAGCATAACTGGTTTTGAGTTAGGTTAACGGTTAGGCTAGGTTAACGGTTGGACTTGATGATCTTAAAGGTCTTTTCCAACCTAAATGATTCTATGGGTTATATATTTGATGGTTTAATTGAAAAAGTTTCCCAAAGCTTGATAGGCAATGTATATGAAAGTGATAGGTTACCTTTATCTCAGTGGATCTTTTGTTAAATGAAATGTAAGGCATATTAAGACGGAAAGCCTTCCCAAGTCCCACAGTCAAAACATTCAGTGAAAATACCGAGGCCAAAACCAGCCTTCCACCCTTCTCTTCTCTCCCACAGTTAACAGCAGTTTGCATAGAGGGTACAATGAAACATGAGTAGTGTTAATTCACATTCCTTATTTTGTGGTAACTGTCGTTTGTGCATATGCAGCTTGCTGTGATAGCAATTGTAGATGTAGTAGATTTTGTCTTTCATTTTCCACATTATTTTAACTCATTTGATTTTGAACCTGCAAATTACACAAAAATTATCAAAAGTTACCTTTCTAGCTAAGTTTTATCTTAGTCATATTTTTAACAAGCTGAAAATGTTACTGAAATGCTGTTAAGTATTGACTGAAGATGCAGCTTGATGAAAACCAAAGAACATCCATTGCTACTGATAAAAATATTTCTAGTTGGATAAGATCCACTCAGTGGTGTAATATTACTTTTTCTGCAAAGGTCTTTAAATTTGTTTAACATCATAATCTTTGGCCAAACATGTTTGACTTAACCTAGTCGTGGTTTGTTTTTTGTTTGGTTTTTGTTTTTTTTTTTGCGGGGGAAAAGCAGCCAAACATTTTTTCTTGGGGGAAATAAAAGAGAGAATAGTAGCATGCTATAGGAAGTTTTCTATTTAGCGCTGTAGGATCTGAAATGTTCTCTGTCTTCTAAGCAGTGACTATGTACTTTATGTGCTGCTTTTCCATCTGAGTTAACTGATCCTGGTGTTACTAATTAATTAACCTGTGTGGTGCTCTTACTGAGTTTGCATGTGGTGGGGGCACAGAAAGGTGTTAATTAACAGTGCCTGTGAAAATAATTGAGATACCTTGACTAGCTTTAGCAAAACACTGAGCCCAGACTGACTGCAATATTACAGCTGTGCCTAAAAGCTTATTAGGCTGCAGTTCTTTTGCGCTAAGTACTCTACTCATATTAAACAACTTATAATCTGAAAGGAGGGACTGTATGAATAACTGAAGTAAGCTGCAGAGATATTTTTTTTGCGCAGACTGCTCTGTGTGTTAATTCACGGATATAACAAAATAAGTGTTGATGATAATTGTCATTATTGTAACTTCTAGATTTGACATCTCTTATATCGGATCCTAATTCCCGAGAAGGCCGGCGTTCACTAGGAGTTCACATTCCCGACGGGAATTCTGCGTCTGGTCACAGTTACGTACAAGCATTGGATCCTTGCATTTAAAAAAGCTTTTCAGTTAGAAATTAAAGGTAAAACTGTTATTAGGAAAAAAGCCTTCAGTTTCATAACGTATTACAAAAAGGGTGTGCGTTCTTAAAGTTTGTGGACGGTAAATAAAGTTTACCTCATATTTCCAGTTCCGTTTTGAAGTTCTTAAATGATTCTTCCAGATGTGTGTTTCTTTTCCTAAGATACCAGCAAAGGGCAAATAGTTGTTTATGTACACATAGTGAGACTTATTATTTCTGCATTAATACTTGCTTTTGGCATGGCAAAGTGTTTAAGGCTCTATCGGACTGCCTTGTCAGCATTTACTCAGTGGCTTCTATGAGAGATGGATTCAGCAAAGCGCTTTTAGGAGCAGTGTCATACATACAGTCCTAACCTGTTGTCTGCTTCCCGTTTCTCAGTTTTGGATGGTATACTGGGATGTCTCGGAAAAAAGCCAGCCGAAATGTAATCTGACTAGGACAGGGATCTTGTTTGTAATGTAGAGGGAACTTCTGTTGGTAAAATCAGGAGCTTCACTTTTTCACTTGCTCCCTGAGTTTTCCTGGAATTTTACATGCTAGCAAGATGTATTTTTTTTGCTCAGCTGTTTTTCTCTGGGCTTTGCTGTAGTTGTCCATACCTTGCAGTGCCACCATATGCCAAGAACTGCAATACCTGCCGATTCTCTTCAGGTTCAGGTCAAGGCAATAGTTTTGATGAGTAACCGCCCTAATCCAGAGCATGCTGAAAAGGTAGCTCATTGCTTTTGCTGGGACTTTTCATGGGGTCACAGATAAGACCGATTTTTCTGCTTTTCAGAAAGTGTCAAAAGTGTAAAATTTTCTTCTAATAGTCGGTGATTTCGTACCCTTCTATATTTTGTAGTGCCTGCTGAAACCAGAAGAGATACTACTATACTTCCAAGGGAATTGTATCAAGGATTATATCTTCATTACGTTTTGTAGTTTAGAGAAGTAATTTTATGGATATGTAATTCTGAGATTTTTTTCATATTAATTCCTATAGTACTTTTCAAAATGACAAACAGTTACTGTACGTGGCGGTTATTAATGATTCCAGTGAGAATCTCCCACCTGGACCTATCAAGGTGTTGTTATTCTCTGTCATCACTCATGATAACTTGGGGGGAATCAACTTATTTGAAATTGATGTGGGCAGAAAGTATTCATATCGCAAGCCTCAGCCCTGGGACTCCTGTTGGCTGCTTCTGAGTGGGTGGTGGTACAGGAGACAAACCAGTGTTCACAGGAGCTCTTAAGGAGATCTGCTGGATTTTCGCCTGAATTGTGGGGGTTCTTTGAAGGTCAGTGCTTTCCCATTTTTCTTTTTTTTCTAGGAAGGAGTTTTAGTTATCCTGTTGCAGGAAAATTGTCGCAAAGGCACACAGATTCTTTACTTTATCTGAAAAAAAAAAAAAACAACAGAGAGGTATACCTCTCTGGAGATCTACCTGATACAAATACATGGAGAAACTGTGTGTTCCATGAGCTTGACTAGATGTGTTTCTGAGAAACAGAAAGAATCAACCGAAAAATCTAGTAATCTGGATAAATTTGTTGTCACCAACCATGATTGCTTAATCGGATTTATGAATTCCATATGCTCCCTATGATGGCAACAGGAGAGGAACTTCAGAGCTCCCTTTGGCCTAGTTCAAGGTTGCTCAGCTTAAGACTCTTTGTAACACTTTGGTTGGGGTGATGGTTTTGCAATATATACAGCTTAAAGCATGCAGATTATTTTAGCTAGGGGATTTTTGTTCCTAACTCTGGATGAAGAGCAGAAACAAAGTTGTTGACACCGAAAGATAAAAGGCTATTTTTATTCTATAGTGTAAGTTAATTTAAGTTCAGTGATAATCTGTCTACTTGGCAGATTTTTATGTCATTGTGGACATGGAAATCGTAAGTCCAGTCTATCACACCACAGAGAAGGGTGCTACACTGTAAAATCAGGAAAGCACAAAATTGGAGAGTCCTGACTTGCGTTTTAGTTGTGAGACACTAGTAAAGACAGAACCTGATAGACTATCTTAAGTCTATCTTATCTTCTTCATGTAAAACATCAAATATTTTGTTAAACAGTTCCATTACTGTATATAAAGAATAAATAGTATCTGCAACATTTTTAAATTCTGCAAGAAAATTCAGCCTGAGTGTCAAACGCTTGAGCATTTGTCTTTGGTGGTACCAGACGGAAGATTCATTGTGTCCATTTAATTATGTTTATCTACTAATCCTTGTCTATTGATTGAAAACTAGCTGGAAATACCAGAGCAGTCAACTTCAAGATTACAAATTAAATTCACATTTCTGACTGCAAATCAAACAAATTGGTAGGTATGAGAGTTTGCTTGTGTTAGAGCCCAGGTGGCATAGTGGCTTAAGGTGCTAGCATTCCCTTTTACGTGATTTGGACTCGTACTGTGGAAGAGTTCAGGAGCAGCAATGAACCTGGCGGTGTAGTTCGGCCTAGCTAACTGGCACGGTTCAGAACTGCTGGCAGTTTGTTCTGGAGGGGCTCCGGGCTTACACAGGTGTGGATGTTGTTCGCTAGTGGCAAGCTCTGAGGTGAAAGGCTGCAAACCACCTTCCCACAGTTCAGCAAGAGATCCCATATGTCTTTCTGGAGTCAGAAGTAAAATGAAACAAATGTCCACTGTTTTTTTTGGGGGGGGGGAGCTAGTGTTCAGATTTCCTTGATGCACACTTTACTTTCTTTGGCTGTACTACATTTACAAACCTGAAAGACAGTAGTATGTCTGGCTGCTGCAAAGAAAGCAGGTCCAGTTCTTAACACTATCATGTTATACAGTTTGCCTTCTCCAGTAGGTCTGTATCATAAGAACAGGTGTTGTGTTGATGAGGCATAAGCCTTTGAAGTGGACAAGGAAGAGGGAACGAGGACATCTCTGTACTGGAGAAGTTGCCAGACTAATGAGATCTTAAGTGCTGCTAGCAGTGTTTGGCCATCCGGTAGCCCTTCAGTGCAACCCTGTCCTTCTGCTGTGTTTGTATAACAAGGTGTAGGGCAACGTACATTTTACTGACTCTTTGTACTTATGCATCCCTCCCAAAGGAGCTTGAGTAGCTGTCTAGCCAGGAGCTAGTAGCAAGTACTCAACTAGCAAGCTGAGGGGGCCTGCACCTCTTGTATTATATATTTATTGTTGGGCCATTAATGCACTGCAGGGCCCTAATCAGCTTCCAGACTCCACTGTATAAACTCTATATGAACACAGAATAACATGGAGCAAGAGGGGAAAGGGGCACAGTACACAGTAATATTTGTTATCAGTGCTCAGTAAATGCAAACAACCTCTGATTTTTATCATTGTGAATAATGAACTCACCTCCTAGCTTGGTCTTGGAAAGTTTTAATTTAATTAATTAACTGTCTTGTGATTGCTACGTTTTCCATGTACTTTGTAACTAAACGTTTGTAGTAATAAAGTTTGAGACTCAACTGTAATTTATATATACCTTGTCTATAAAAAATATCAATTGCAATAGCAATTTTTAAGAACAGGCTGTCAGTGAGAAACCCCAAGCTGGAAATAATGCTTTATACGTTCTATGTGTATCTTCTTTCTAGTATGTGTTTTTTTAGCTACAGAATCACAGCTCTCAAATGTAACCAGCTGTTCAGATCTTTGTATCATGCCCTTCAGTCTGTACATTCAGTTATCTTCAACAAGCTTGGGCTTTTCTCCATTAAATTTTATCTTGTTGGCTTGAGAGAGAAGCCTATAGAATCAGTTACAAAGCAACTAAACCTTTTTATTAGACACTCTCGCCCTTCGTGGGAGGTAAGGAACACCAACTCGTGGGCTTGGCTGGAGAAAGTAAAGCCTGCAGAGTAAAGGAGCTGTAGGTTCAGTTCACATAATTACTCTCTGTTCACTCTTTGGGTGGAAGTATCTCCTAAAGGTTTGGTATATACTCTGTGACACTGTCCAGTCTCGGGCATACGCTTCTCATATTCATTAGAATCACTGAAAGCATTTCTTGACTCTGTTCTTGATGATCTTCCCAATTAAGTGTATGTTACTGAGTAAATACTGCAAATAATTTGACTGGTTTTGGCTTATGCTGTAATGAAAACCTTCAAGTTAGTTTTAGAAGTAACTAATTAATAGAAGGATGTAACACCTAGTGTCATAGGTGAAGGGTGCTTTTTTCTGAGTAATTTCCAAAGTGACCTAAAAATCTGATAATTAAATCTCAAGAGGCATTATACTGATAGAAAACTAATATGATATTATGTGTAATACTGGGCATAATTGTGTGTTTACTGAACATCATAATAAAAATCAAATAAACAATAATTTGAAGAGTAAACTTCCTTTACTGGGAGGCACATGGAAAGTGTGATGAAAACACTGTGAATCAAATAGCTTTCATAATCAGTTCAGTAAAAAGGATTAGTAGGTTTTCTATGTCCTTGTACTACAGAAGCTTTCTTAATCAGCTGGACAGACCCATTTCTACATTCCTCAAGCATTCAGGAAAGATCTACATTTTTCGTCAAGGTTTTGTTTTCAAGGGTGACATTCTTCGCTTTTTTTTTGCAGTTCAATACTGGTGAGGCCGCACCTCAAGTGCTGTGTTCAGTTTTGGGCCCCTCATTACAAGGACATTGAGGTGCTGGAGCGTGTCCAGAGAAGGGCAACGAAGCTGGTGAAGGGCCTAGAGCACAAGTCTTATGGGGAGCGGCTGAGGGAGCTGGGGTGGTTCAATAAGTTCAATAATAGCTTCATTCTTCCTGTTATGTTCAGTGGTAGAAGGATGATCTGTGTCCTAGTGAGTGTAACAGTGGAGGAAAACTGTTTGAACAGATGGAGAACCAAAATTTAGCACAGGGTTCATCACTGCCTTTCCTTAGAGTTAACTGAAGGGTAACTGCGGTGTCTTGACCAAGACCAGCTATAACAAATGGCAGAGAATTACTAGGAAGCATGTAAGCTACTGATAGGTAATTAAAATTGTATTTATTTCATAGATTTGCTTTTTGAGTATTAAAATACAGAATATATTGTGAAACTTAACATAGTGTGTGTGTGTTTGAGACCTTCTGTGCCTCCATTAAGGTATGTCCAAAGAAGGGCAACAAAGTTGGTGAAGGGCCTAGAGCACAAGTTCTACGAGGAGCGGCTGAGGGAGCTGGGGTGGTTTAGCCTGGAGAAGAGGAGGCTGAGGGGAGACCTTATTGCTCTCTACAACTACCTGAAAGGAGGCTGTAGCGAGGTGGGGGTCGGTCTCTTCTCCCAAGTAACAAGCGATAGAACGAGAGGAAACGGCCTCAAGCTGCGCCAGGGGAAGTTTAGGTTGGATATTAGGAAAAACTTCTTCACCGAAAGGGTAGTCACGCACTGGAACAGGCTGCCCAGGGAAGAGGGGAGTGGGTGAGGCCCCATCCCTGGAGGGATTTAAAAGACAGGTAGACGTGGTTCTTAGGGACATGGTTTAGTGGTGGACTTGGCAGTGTTAGGTTAACAGTTGGACTCGATGGTCTTAAGGGTCTTTTCCAACCTTAACGATTCTCTGATTCTATGTTTAGTAATGGTAGTAAAGGAAAATATTCTAAGAACAGGGCAGTGTCACTTGCCATATGTGGTGAAAGAAAAATTATATTC